AGGTTACCATTATTATTAAACCTATCATCTAGATTAGCACATGTACTAAAGTAATCACTTGATTAAGATTAAGCAATCAATAATAACCATATCATATTTGGCTTTTCATCATTATAACCATCATCAAGTTCCATAGTAACATTACTACAGTGCAGGCGACCAGTCTAGTTTCTCACTATCTAGGAGAGATGGCAATTCGAATCGATTCCTAACTAGCTGGTGAAATTTCCTCACACAAACCACACTTCCCCCGTCGGGGTCGCTTTAGGTCACCGTTGGTACTATTCGAGATCCCTCGCGGGTCTGAGCTGGGTCGCATACTCAGGGACCAACCGGTTGCCAGGTAGCTCAAGCCATGCCTGCCCACGGTCGCAATGCCAGGTAGCTCAGATCATGCTTGCCCACGGTCAAATCTGTGTCCCCACACATCCTTCCTTCCTCCGGCATGCGTGAAATACATACCAGATTCTCGGCTCGAACAGAGCTACTAGGCTTCGCGGTCAGAACGGCTTATCCTTCTAGCTAAGTGTGAGGCATGTGTTCAATCTCGACTGATGTCCAACAAACCTCTCAACCCTTAAAATGACACAGACAAGAATATCAACAACACATCCCGCCCGGTCTCCATTTACTCATCAACATATGGTTATTTTCCACGATAGCAAATATAGCCAACCGTGATCAGGTATCCACCTAAAGCTCGCAGGTTATAGGGAATCACCCGACTTCTACCGATCTAAGCATGGCTAAGCATTAGTTTCGATCCTGGACCTAACAGGGATTATAACATATCATGGTGGACAAGGAAAGTATATATATGCAGCAACGGTTTCATTCAATTCCTATAACGTAATGCATCAACCATAAAGGATTCAAGTTAAAGTTTTGTAAAGACATAGGGGACTTAAAATACTTCAGGGCTTGCCTGGGATCCAACACTCAGGTTAGTGTTTGTCAGATGACACTCGCTTGGCGAGCATCTCCCATCCTGGCACTTGCTCAGCCCTTCCATCTTCGGGTTCGACTCCAACATCTCATCCTTCATGTGGTTCATCTAGCGTACCTAGATGATATGCAAGATGCAAGTGTATGAATACATGGAAGTGCAATAGACAAAGCATTGCACACAGTAAGCAAGACAAGCACAAGGTTACACTGAACACACTTAAGCATTTCACGTTGCTTAACTTAAACATCACACATTATATCATGCTAAGATAGCAAAGAAGGCAACACCAAGCATGACACAGTTCACTAGATCTCAGGTACATTAACTTAACCATCATCAAAGGCATGAGCCACACTTAGCATCATACAAAGCAAACAACTATAACTAGAATAAGTCATTCAGGCAATTTCAGCAAATCTGGGAACATAGATAGCAGCTGAGTAAATAAATCATAACTGGAGTTCTACAGATCCAAATGACATGCAACAACACATTCTGGAAATCTTATGAAATTGTCTACATTTCATCTTTAAACATCTCAGCATGATTCCCAAATTAACAGGGTCAAACATACAAAATTACAGAATCTGGTCCAGAGATTCCAGAGAGCAACCATTTCTGGAACCCAACTTGTAACAGCTATAAGTCACAAACCAATTAGCGAAATGCCACCAAAATTTAACACAAGCTAGATGAATGAATTATCTACAAGTTTGTTATACATAAGTTTCCCCAAAAACATCATTATCAAGGTGTAATTCATGTAGCCCCAAAAACTGTCCAGAGTGGACCAAAACATGAAAATAAAAGTTCACTTATGTTTCAAACATACACCTGAGCAAAACCAAAGTAACCAACATATTGCACATATCAAATAAACACTAGAAAACATAATGACCAACCCTAAATAAATTCTTCTCATGCCTTTATTAATTTATTTAGATAATTAGGTGGAATTATGAACACATATCAAAAGTGTAAAGTAAATTCTAAGAAAATTACAGTAGCTCACATATTCTCTCAATAGTCTACTGTACAAATTTCATGTCGTTTGAACCAGCATAGCAACCTCTACGGAAAATACAAAATGCTAATGCAAGAAATCATGTGAGAGCAAGATAAATCTAAATCTCAACATTTTCTATAAACATATGACCATATTATGTATCAACATGGCATAATAACATCATACCAAGGTACTGGAATAACATTTTCCATTTTTACACCCTCATAATTAATTATAACTGATTTAAAATCATTTATCAAGCATCAAGCAAGCTAAATCAATAACTCAAGCATACTGCATCCAGTGACCATGCAATTTTTACCACAGTACACACATATTATCAGTAGCCTACCATAAAAATTTCACTGCAATTGGAGCATCACATCTTTAGATATGAATTTATCCCTAATTATCAAAGATAAATAAAAACAGGAAAAACCTTCTACTAACATATAATATATTATGACTCTACTGCATAGATCTATTCTCAAGGATTTCAAAAAGTCCTAATTTTATATTTTTGGATTTTTCTATGATTTACTATGCATTTTCAAAGTTTTAGCCATTTAAATGCACAACAGAAAAAGAAAAGGAAAACACTTTTGCCTCGAGGTCCCTGTACTTTTTACAAATACGGATTCCAGCAAACAGGTCCCTACAAACACTATTCACATGAGTCATGCATTTCACAACTGGACCCAAGAAAAGGCTTCTAATTCATTTTCTTCCCTATCTTCATCTTCTTCACGTTGCCGAGCAAAGGAGTCGTCGGGGCCGGCGGCTTGGGGCTCGGCGGCGGCGGGCAGGGGCCGAGGCACCCCGTGTGCACCCGTGGGTGCCCGTGACGCGGCCTGGGATGGCCTGTCTGGAGGCCCACAGTGGCTCGACCGCGGCGTCCAGGCGGCAGCGGCGACGGCCTGGCTTCGGCGGCGGCTAACCCTAGTCTGGGGCATGGGAACAAGAGGGGCGCAAGGTGTGCAGTAGGTGGCCGCGGCAATGCGCATGGCGTCTGGAGGTGAGAAGCTCGGGTGGTAGTGGGCTCTTCTGGCGGCCATGGCTGCAGCCGCCCGTGGCGGGCGACGCCGGCGCGAGCGGCAGAGCGAGGGGGAGCACGGCGAGTGAGGGCGCTCTGGTGCTCTCCATCACGAGTGGAGAGGCAGTGGGCACGCATCGGCATGGAGTAGGGAGGTGGGCGCGTGGTGCTCGTGCATGGTGGACGCGTCGACAAATCGTCGAGCACGTGGCGGGCAGCGAACGGGGCAAGGTCGGCGTCAAATTGGGCCGGATCTGGGCCGATTTTGGACCTAGGACAAAAACGAAGTTTAGAGCCCACAAACTGCTCTACATTTTCTATTTAAAGTGTATAGTCATTAGAGTTGTAGATTAGTAGTTAATAAAGTCCAAAGTTGATAGTGTCAACATGTTCACAGCGGTTAAGTAAACGCAAAATTGATCGTCCAGCCAAAGTCAAACTGGTGCCATCTTTTTGCATGCTCTTCTTCAATGAATTAGATTCAAATCTTATTTTTGGACCAACTCAAGTTGCTTAACAAAAACTTGAGAACACGACGTGCCAACCATTATCAACATCAAAATCTCGGACTTAGCCAAATTTCTGAGATCCAAATCAGCACAGGGTTCGGTTTTGAAACCTCAGTTTGACTAAGTTAAGGGCCAAACTAGCTCTTGACCCTTAAACAAAGTTTCTTCTACAAAACATGAACTACAACTTTTATTTAAGGTCCAACATCTAAACTAGTATAGAACCTACAGTTCTACTTTGACCAAAGTAGTATCACGGAGGTTGAAAGGCGGCAAGGGCCGGAGGAGCTGCCGGCATGGAGGCGCTGGAGCATGCCGCGGAGGAGGCCGAGGACCTATTGAGCGGACCTGCTGGCCCGCGAACACGACGGAGGCCCAACTCCGGGAAAATGTATATGTGGTGGGCCATAGACGGGCCGGGGGGACGTGGATCAAAAGGACAACTGGGTGTTGGGCCCCGGCGTAGACTTGTTGTGGCCTTGTGGTTGTGGTCCGTACTAGTTAATTCGTATGACTTGCATTTTTTTACAATAAAAAAAGTTTGATCTGATACAAATGCCGACCATTTTTATACTATTATATGGTCAATTAAATGTCGTTCTCGCTCGTTCCAAGGTGTGACTCGCTGACTCATGACTGATTCTCTCTATCAAGTCCTTTTGTTTGATCATTAAGTAGGGTGACAACAATTTAATCCACTAGGGGTGTCAATTACTTCTTCGTGATCGTGAACATATATAGTGCATCACGTAATGGCCTTTTTCACGCACCTCACCTCGCTGGTGGGTAAGTCATATAGAGGTACGTCGACATCATGCGTCTAAAAGAACACTATATTCACTATGCCAGAAAACCATATTAGTGACGCATCTGAACAGTAATTAGTGACGCGGAAAACACGCGTCACTTATGTTGCGTCTGTGATGTGAACACATTAGTGTCACTGATTTGAGTTATCAGCGACGCGTCTAGCCAAACTGCGTCACTAATGTGAGTTACCAGCGACACGTGTAGCCAAAAACGCGTCACTGATGTGAGTTACTAGCGACGCGTCTAGCCAAAAACGCGTCACTGATGTGAGTTACCAGCGACGCGTATAGCGATGCGTTCCTGATGTGGGTCTCATCAGTGACGTGTATAGCCAAGACGCGTCACTGATAACAATTCAGAAAAACAAAAAAAAAAGAAAAACCCCTACTTGGGTCCTATATACATCAGCCATGTTTCATCTGTTCCAGCAATCAAATTCTTTATTACAAACTTTAGATACAACTTATGAAACAATCAAATTCTTTACAAACTTTAGATACAACTTATGCTACAACTCAAGGAGCTGTTATCTAGAAGACTCCTAACAGTACATAAGCAGATAATACATACTATAAGGATAACAGTACATAAGAAATGACCGAACTAATTCCATGAGGCAACCTGCTTTAGCCAAACAGAACAAAAGACATGCAAGTCTCCAAAGGCACCTCTATTAAACTTACTTTTTTTTTTCTATGGTACTCGATGACAACCTGCATTAGAAAAAAATGATGCATTAAGTTCAAATGATCACAAACACATAGGCATTCTAATATAAATTTCTTGTTACTTGTTCTTTATGGCTAAACTGTATTCTAAAATGATCGGAGAGGTGTCCAAGCTGGATTAAGCTACTTGCCACTTGTTCTTTATGGCCCATAGCAATATAGAATTTCTTTCTAGCAACATAAGTTCCCTAATAGTAAGTGTTTTGATCATTAACTAGCACTGAGTTGCAATAGAAATAATAATTAGATTACGATACCGAAACATGATATGCCACTGTTACAAAAAGTTAACTCTGTTACAAAAAATTCAACTATGGGAATTAGTACTCTGCTTTAACACATCATCATTGTGAATTAGTACTTGTAAGTTCTAACTACCTAAAGAGAAAAGGCAACCTGCACTGTAAATCACTTTAGTTTAACTGAAGGAAAGATGCACACTGCATTATGAATTCGATTGATAACTGAAAGCCTAAACAGAAGAAGTTAAACATATATAACTAGATAAAGAAATAAAAATCTGCATTTCAAAAGTACTGTTGTTTGTAGCAAAGCAGCATACCTTGCAAAACGAGTGGAGTTCTGCTGCTGCCCACCTCAGCTTCCGTCACTGTAATGCTGATAACAAAATCCTTCTTGTTCTTATCAGCACTAGTAATGCTCCCTACCTGAAGCCTGCAACCATACACAAATGCAAAATGTGTAAAATCAACCATACACAAATGCAATCCTGCTAATAATCTTAAACACATACTTTTTTCCAGTCAGCTATTTGATTGTAGGGTTTTTGTTAATATGGTATGGAACTGAATGGCAAATTTTATTTTAAAAATATTCATCCTCAAAGCTTCCAGCTATAAGCTCCAAAAGAAGCGAGTATTCTTCATCCTGAGAAGAGGCTATCATTTCCATGTCGTTTCCAGATTAACCATTTGAAAGAGATTTAATTTCATACAACATAAATAAGTAGTGAAGCAATTACCATTAGCAGTGTCCCAATGCCAATAGCAGACTTCATCCTTCCATCTTCACCCTCTCCAGCTTCTGTAACAGCAAATTGCAAGGGATAATCCCATCCTAGGTTATACATTTCTGCCACAAGCAGGTGATATGCTTGGACCATGACAACAGGGTTACTAGCTTTCATCAAAAATACAAAGTTGTGGAAGTCCAACTTCCGACATATCCTAGCAAATTCCAAAGCAGACTCAACCTGCAACATTGTGTAGAAGATGTCAAACTTTTATGTACTACTATTTAAATATTTCCTCGGAAATGAGATAATCACCATTCCCCGTGGAGAATCACCATAGTAGATCATTATGCGGTCAGAAAGACTACCATGATTTGTTCCTATACGCATTGCTCTTGCATACTGCTTGCATTTCTCAACTAATGGAGAAAACACCTGAGACAAAATTAATATGGCTCTGTAAGATAACATGCCATATGTTCACACTGATTGAAACAAAACTAAGAGTGACAATTTTTCAACCTTCTCAATATGCTCAAGCTCTTTTTTGTAGTCATCGTCAGTATATTCCAGCTTTTCGAATTGAGCACGACGATCAGCTGCCAGTACAGTTCTCAGCATTTTACAATAATAAAAACATGACAGACCAAAATGAGGGATGTAAAGATTTCACTCACCAAAATTTCCTGGGTTCACACGAATTTTGTCAAAGCATTCTGCCACCCTAAGAGCTACTGTAGGAGCAAAATGAATATTGGCCACTAGTGGAATGTTGTAACTATACAAACACAATGAAAAGGGTGAGGACGCATACATGTGAACTCAGTGAATGTGAAGAAAATGACACCTTACTTCTTCTGAACCAGAGTGTTCTTGATCTCAAAGCAGGCATCAGCTTCCTTCCTACCCTGGACGGTTATTCTGACAATATCAGCTCCTTTATCTGGTATCCTCATCACCTGAAATAGTGCAAGTGATATGTTCATTAGTTAAATATACACAAAATAGAAATCATCTGAAAAAGGCTGAGTAAAATCTCCTGCATTCAAACTCTGTAGAGAATACTAGGAACAATCAACATGAATTTCAGATGGGATGCACCTCCCCTACTGTTTTTGCAACATCCTTGGTATCTGCAGTCGTCATGGTTTTTTCCTTATGGGATGATCACTGCCAAGTGGCACATTCCCCACCATCACAGTTCGGGTTTTCCTCCTCCTTGTCTGGTGTATTGATTCACAGTACTTTTGCCTGGGTACTGAAGGACGCAGAAAGGACAGTTCATTCAGTTAGGAAAAAGGTGCATAGATTAAATCTGGGACAGATCTCTTGAGTTGAAAAATACACAGCTACATAAAAATATATACATGCAAGGACACAACTATATGTGTCATCACAGTCCTTAATAATCGTCCATATATATACAATGATTCAACAAATGAGGATGAGTTTAAATTATCCAAGCTGAATAATGGAACTTTAGCCTACTGTTTTGAGCTTTCTAGGACGCATAACTTCTAGACAGGTTGTACAAAAGAGAAGATAGTTTTGGGATAAAAAGAAAAAGAAAACTCCAAGCTTGGTTATCCTGATATTTATGTACCAACCTTACAGAGGACATAAGAATTCTAGAGCATGTACAAATAGTACAGCCTCTTGAGTCATTGTATCAAATATACTTGTAACCTAGTAAAACTAACACTAAAGATAGCTATGTTTCAAATGAGAGCACCCTATTGAAGTCAAATGTTACAGAGAGCATAATAACTAAGGTGCTATGGCAGTTATCATTTTACAAAAAGCATCCACAATACACATATACAATGAATAATTATTTATAGATATAATCTTGCAGAGTTCAGTGCTTCAGTATTTCACCAGAACACACAATGCATCAATGACACAATACTTGACTACTTGCACACATGTAAATGACATTATCAGAATATATTTTTCTACCGTCTGTTGTATTCAACCAGACACATCATTTTTTAAAACTAGCAGTGACCCAGAAATTCTTTTACAGATAGTTAAGACTCTTCCAACTTTTCGAACTAACTGTAACCCAAATACACACTAGCAGTATAGTTTCTACCGAGAAGACCAATCATAAAATTTAGCCCCATCCTATTAGGCAGCCACTTTCATTCATTAGACAGATTCAGTAGACAGTACAAGGAGATCTTGTGCATAAATTTAGTGAAACTCAATTCATGTGAGGCACTAAATCCAAATGAAAAAATGTACTGCTAGCTACCTTTCAGATGAAATATTAGGTAGTAAACATGTGCATGTGCACCACGCTTGAACTACAACAACAACAACAACAAAGCCTTTAAGTCCTAAACAAGTTGGGGTAGGCTAGAGTTGAAACCCAGCAGAAGCAATCAAGGTTCAGGCACGTGAATAGCTGTTTTCCAAGCACTTCTATCTAAGGCTAAGTCTTTGGGTATATTCCATCCTTTCAAGTCTCCTTTTATTGCATCTACCCAAGTCAACTTCGGTCTTCCTCTGCCTCTCTTCACGTTACTATCCTGGCTTAGGATTCCACTACGCATCGGTGCCTCTGGAGGTCTCCGTTGGACATGTCCAAACCATCTCAACCGGTGTTGGACAAGCTTTTCTTCAATTGGTGCTACCCCTAATCTATCACGTATATCATCGTTCCGAACTCGATCCCTTCTTGTATGACCGCAAATCCAACGCAACATACGCATTTCCGCGACACTTATATGTTGAACACGTCGTCTCTTCGTAGGCCAACATTCTGCACCATACAACATAGCAGGTCTAATCGCCGTCCTATAAAACTTGCCTTTTAGCTTCTGTGGTACCCTTTTGTCGCATAAGACACTAGATGCTTGGCGCCACTTCATCCACCCTGCTTTGATTCTATGGCTAACATCTTCATCAATATCCCCGTCTCTCTCTGTAGCATTGATCCAAAATATCGAAAGGTATCCTTCCTAGGCACTACTTGACCTTCCAAACTAATATCTTCCTCCTCCCGAGTAGTAGTGCCGAAGTCACATCTCATATACTCAGTTTTAGTTCTACTGAGTCTAAAATCTTTGGACTCCAAAGTCTCCTGCCATAACTCTAGTTTCTGATTCACTCCTGTTCGACTTTCATCAACTAGCACTACATCATCCGCGAAAAGCATACACAAGGGAACTAGTGCATAATTTCCAGAGTGGCACAAGAACAGAAGCAGAGAAACAAGCTACTTACTATAGAATTTTTTTCCTAAATCATGTTGAGCATGTGCACTATGCTACAACTAGTAATGTCAGACTAAATAGGAGGGGTCAGCATGAAGATCACAGAAAAACATCACAGGAACAAAGGGATTCGGGATTTTACCTAGAAGCAACCTCCTTTGGACGAAAGTGCAGGCGACCATATCCTGATTGATGGAGGGGAACGACCTGGATTTGGGTGCTGCGGAAGGGATCAACCTCTCGACCTGATGCTACTGTGCCATGTTGCCGACCTCTCGACTTGCTGCTACTACTGCTCTGATGAGGGATCAAATCAAGAAATCGAGGGAGATAGAGAGTACGTAGGACAAAATCACCATTACAGAGGGAGAGAAAGAGACTGATGATGTCACCTCAACAGATCCCGAGCGCTCATTGATCTCGCCGTGGGGATGGTGGTGGTCGGCACGGAGGGATCAGGATGGACCAGCCTCGTTGGATCTGCCTGCCACTCGCTGGGATGACGGGGGTGGACGCTAGGGCGCCGTCGAGAACGGAGATCTGGTGCGGGATCCCCGCCGCAGCAACCTCGTTTCCCATCTCCCTCCCTCTAGATCTCTCCCGTCGAGGGCCATGCCCAGCGCTCGCTCTCCAGCTGGCCTGCCTCCTCACCAGATGTGGCCTCCGTGGAGCCGTAGTGGTTGGGGGAGGGGGAGGCGCGATGGCAGCGGCTGAGGAGGAAGAGGAGACGTGGCGGCGGCGGAGGGAGCGGAAGGGCTGCAGATCCGGCCGGCGCAGCCATGGATTCGCCCTTGTCGAGGGAGAGGGAATGGACCGGGGAGAGAGGAGAGAGGGGGGGACGACACCGGGGGTGGGGGCAGAAGTGACGACGGGCTTGGGATGGGTGTGGACCTGACCCGTCTAGTTTCACCGGATTTGATAATTTTTTCGGGTCCGTGCTCTTCTAGCAGCGACGCGCTCCGTCAACACGAGTCACTGCCAAGGATCTTCTTATTAGAGATGTGTCTAACTCGTTATTGGTGACGCGTGATTCTTCAGTGGCAGTGAATGACTCCTACTCCGTAACGCGTTGTGTTTACCCGCGTCACTGATCTCATATCAGTGACGCGTTTTAGTTTCGAGTCATTGATTAAGGTGTCTCCTTTGTGCTGTTCTGACATAGTGATTGTACGTTTTCGCGAGATAAAAAATATGACACTTTATGTTGCTCCATCCAAGGATGGTCAAGCAAGTTTACTAGTGTTTCTTGTTTGAAAATATGAATTTGAAAAACATTTACAATGCATAGTCCCTAAGGCGACATGGGCGGTGAGGACCCTGCTCCCTCCCCTCGGACTCCACCTCGCTGCTTCTGGAGATTTGCTTGGTAGCAAAGGAAGGAAGTGGCGGGACACCATCTCCTTTCAAAGAAACTAAGACAAAACTTTTACTGTCCTTTTTAATAAATTGTATTATAATACTAAAGATTTTGTGAAAACCTGTATTGCAATACTAATCAATAGTCGCCGAACTTACTTCTATTCTCGACAACTTTAAGCTTGGTCCTTTGAACTATCCACACAAATATCAAAATTATTAGAATATGTATGTTTAGCTGGAGTAGCTCGGTTGGTTAGAGCGTGTGGCTGTTTTTTTTTTTTTTACAACAAGCAACTTTATTATCAGCTGCAACGTGCTGAGGTAATGTTTACATTGTTCAAGTCTACAGCTTGTAGAGCTTGTAAAAGAGAGCACTGGAGTACATGGTGCTCATAAGAGCAAGTAGACTCTAAACTTGAGTACTGAGAGGCTGAGACTGATAGAGCCTGACGAGCCAGTGCATCCGCAGTGGTGTTGAGTTGCCTTTTGATCTTGAAAATCTTGGATTCCCTGCTTCTTGCATAGTTTGAGAACATTTGAGTAAATGGTTTGATTCTCCAGTCCGGAGGATTGGATTGGTCAACTGCATTGAGGAAATGAACCAGCTGCTGACAATCGGATAAGAAGTTTATGTTACTGAGATTCAGGGTCTCGGCGACAGTAGCTGCAAAGTCTAGGCTGACAGCTTCAGCCATGAGGACCGAAGTACATTCAGCAAGCTTTGCCTGTATGTAGATCGTCTGCGTTGGTTGGACCTGCACGTTAACAACATAGTTGTTAAGGCGTCGCTATACCGTCGCCATATCGCCGTGGCGTTTTTCTGGCTCTCGCCACGGCGGCGCCACGGCTCCGGCGTGTATGGCGTCCGCCATAGCGCCGTGGCGTCCCCGTGGCGCCGATTTGGCGTCCTATGGCGCCTTTGTGCGCTGTGGCAGGCGCAATAGACGGTGAGGGTGAGGGTGAGACCGTGAGGGTACCTGTATAGGCCGAGTGGCTGATTGGAGCCCTCCGAGACCGAGCCCGAGACGCAACCGCAAGCAGCCCTCCGTCGGCCTCCCCCTTTTGCAGGGGGCCGTGCGCTGTCGACGGTCCAGCGGAGGCGGGAGGGGAGAGGGAGGTGCGTACGCAGGGTCGCCAGCCGGTGTGCGGAGGATGGAGGCGAGGGCGCTAGGTGACTGGCGAGAGGCGGGAGGAGGAGCCGCTGACGCCGCCGCCGAGCCTGGGACTGCCCGCCGTCGCTGAGAGCCCGAGCCTGAGTAGGAAGATAAGAAACGGCGGCGGCTATCAGGCTGTGTGCCTTAGTGCTAGGGTAAAGACTATGCGGCGGTGCGTGGGCTTTTTTAGATGGGCCACTAAATAAAAGCCCATACCATCTCTTTTCTTTTTCATTTCTTTTTTCTTTCTTACATATTTTGACAAATTAGCACATAATCTATATATTTATATTCTACAATAACATATTTACTTGCGATTTCGTGAAGCCACATCGATCTCCATTATCCTCTATTGATCCCCATGTACTTGTAATTAAAATTCCTTGCTACATTTACATTGCTATTTTGATTT